ATGACCGAAACATCTCTTATTTGACTGTGATTTCTTAACAGTACGAACGACTAAGGATTGATTTCTTCAACCTGCAAAGGCCACTTTTGGGAACAAAATGAATATAAAACGACAATTTTGTTCTAAGTCTGCTGTTGTAGTCACAGAATTCGGTGAATGATAGGTCTAACATACCTTCCTCTTTGTACACTTGTTAGTGGAAATTCACTATATAGGATAGGAGTGTCGGCACGGAAGAAATAGGCCCATGGCCTGTAGTCGATTGTTGTATTTTTCGTGACTTGATTCACAAGGGATCCGGCCTTTTGAACCCGATCTTTCCATAACTGACGATTGATTGAGATAGCTGCTGGCCTTACTGCCTGGGCCCATACTTTCAAAAAAAGTTAAGAGATCGTAAGTTCATCAGCCAATCATTGACAGGCTTTCAAGCAAAATCCAGCAATCACAGACAAGAAAATAGAGCGTAAATACTTCCGTTTACTTAGCGAATTTTGAAAGTATGGCCCCTGGTCCGTAAAGTGCTAGGCATTTCAAAGCTGGACTTATGCTCCTGCATAGCTTCGTCTAGTCTGTTCTTGAAGGCGTTCATACGCGGAGCGTCAACGATGCTATCAGTGAGGCTGTTCCACATGTCGGTGACTCGAAGCGAGAAGAATGTTGTTGCATGGATGAGTTGCACCGCAGTTTTTGTTACTTTACAGCCGTGGCCCCTGGTGTTGGTTCTTGTTTCAAATTCTAGTAATCCTTCTGAGACCTTGTATAAACCGTGGGTATACTCGAATATGTACTTCAATGAGGTCACCACGCAGACGTTGATAACAGAAGCTTGGAAGCTTCATAATCTTTAACCTTTCTTCATAGGGCTTGCCTTTTAATCGCGAAATTATCCTTGTTGCACGTCTTTGAACACTCTCGACTAAATTTTTGTCCTTTTCTAGTTTTGATGACCACACGGCGTTTCCAAACTCTAGGTTCGGACGCACGACAGCGACAAACAACAGTTTCATCGCCTCAGCATCTATGTACTTGTAAGAGCGTCTGATCAGTCCAAATCGGTTATTGGCTTTTTAACTTGAGCTTCACTGCTTCAGTATGCTATATCCTCCCACATTTCGAAAATAAATCCAACCTATGCTATAACGGACTTGCGAACTTTTAATTTATATCTACAGCAGGAGTGAATTTAATATCTACAGCAGTAGTGGAATGAAAGACCGAATATTAGTCTTGAGGAGAATTTCGAGTAGTTGCATCAGGATTCCCATAAAAAAATGTTCCTCTTTATCGAGCAGAATCTCGCACATCAGACTTCAACACTGTTAGAGTCCCTCCAATCTCAAGTATTATTTGCATGTACCTCAACGTATGAAACTAACCTAAAATGATTAGGCATCTCAAGATAAATTAATGGTAATTTCCGTAAAGCTTTACTCTTTCAAATACTTCATAATATTATACTTCATTTTATTTTCCTTGACTGAATAATTATTGAACATAGGTTCAAGCACACACATCAATTGGAGAAATTTTAGTTGAGAGAAATGCAGCTCCCTTATCATCAATTCGTTACATTCGATATTTTGATAAGTATAACCGAGAGGCGTCGATTACAAATTGTTACAAGCAGCATGTCTGCCATTATATTATTTGTTGGTATTGAAGAACGAAAATAGTTTAAATCTGTGACCTTTTCGCTCGTTTTACGTACGGTGGATAAAACGCTTCAATCGAGCTCAGCAAAAGTGACTGAAATGTTTCAATCAAGCTCATCATTGGTGGGTGAAATATTTCAATTAGGCTTACCATTGGTGAGTGAGATGTTTCATTCAAGCTCATCATTGGTGAGTGAAATATTTTATTCAAGCTCATCATTGGTGAGTGAGATGTTTCATTCAAGCTCATCATTGGTGAGTGAAATATTTTATTCAAGCTCATCATTGGTGAGTGAAATGTTTCATTCAAGCTCATCATTGGTGAGTGAAATGTTTCATTCAAGCTCATTATTGGTGAGTGAAATGTTTCATTCAAGCTCATTATTGGTGAGTGAAATGTTTCATTCAAGCTCATTATTGGTGAGTGAAATGTTTCAATCAGGCTCATCATTGCATGGCGAGTGGAATGCTTAATCAAGCTGTTAGGGTACGTAGTGTAATAGCATTTTTTTACAGTTAGACATCTGGATTTTTGGTTTTAAGTCACCTCGGACGTGACCTCGTTCAGATAAGCACCGAAACTTGTTCATTGCTATATGATCCACCACGGAGAAAGGCCCCGAATCTTGAGACCGAAAGTAAGAACTTGAGCAAAGGGAACACACGGTTATATTTTGTCTTTATTTGTATTTGTTGTTTGCTTATTATAGTTTTCATTTATAGTTCTTATTAATCCTTTATTACCACTATACCCACGACAAAGCTCATCTTTAGTGAGTGAAATATTTTAATCTGGCTCAGCAATGGTATGTGGAAAATCGTTTCTAAAATCTAAAATTTGCACAATAAACATTTACTTCGTAATTGTACGGAGTAGTTCTACGTGTTATTGGATAATTCCTTCTGATAGTAACGATCATTGTTCGATTTCGTAAGTGGGCACAAATCGTCGTCTATGTGAATAAGTATTAATTTCTTTAAATAATCGAATTCACTAGGTATTGATTACATTAATAGGAGTCGGCATTCCATTTGCCCGCCCAGGAAAATATTTTGAATTGATCATTTTATAAATCATTTGCTAAAATTGGAAGGTATAAACTTGATAGCGGGCGAAAATTTATCAACGGGTCTCTTATATTATAATTTTAATGTTGAGGTTAATTAAATTTTAAGAGAGAGATTGCCTTAAACGTCAACCAGTGAATTTACATCAGCTCTAGCTTTACGAAGGAGCGTGAAGAGTGCGTTTTGAACTGATTTTCTTGAGATAGTCTGGATAGTTGTCCTAAGAAATCTAATGAATCGTTTATATGCTTAATCATTCTTTAGGTGTAAGTAAAGAATCTTGGGCCAAAATTGGAGAAATTGAGAGGCTTTTCCAATTTATTCGGTCTAAGTATTGAACCCTGTATAAATAATAGATCGTTACATGTTATATAATTATAAATGCAAAGAAACCAATTAGAAACAGTCCAAATCATTTCAGCTATCAAACCGAAGTTATTAGTACGGGAGGCAGCTCCTATGCTCTAACAAGAGGTTCTTGTGCAATGAACAATAATACAGGGTGCGGCGCGGGAACTTACTTATTTGAATTGCGCGCCACATGGCGGCCATTAGTCCTAGGAAGGTGGCGCCATGCGCAATATGGTGCGCGGGCTATGAAGTTTTTCGTCCACTCAGTTCAGTTGCGACCATGCAGTGGTCGAGAGAGGAGCGCGCGTTCGCAGTCTCTGTGTACTTTTCTAGTGGCCGAAACAACATTCGCGTTGCTATTGCTGACATTGGTCCAGACATGCTTGAGAAGGTGGAGCGAAACTTCCGATCTCGTCTGACAAAATGTATTGAACAGCATGGAGGTCACCTACAAGATGTAATATTCAAGAATTAAACTTGTAAGTAAACCCAACGAAACTTTAAATGTAGCTCTTTGTAAAAAAGAAAGAAGTAAAACGCTATCTTTAATACTTTTTACTTTGTGATTTTTTTAAAAGAGTAAGTTCCCACGCCGCACCCTGTAGAAGTTGGAATGAAGTTATCTGTTGTGTTCAGGCTGATGACGTTTACATTCAGACAAATATAATTTTTACATTTAAATCATTTCTATAAATGTAATCATTTCTATTCTATTAATTCAGCATCTTGCACGTAGACGCTACATAACATTCAGCACAGACGGTAAAGGTATAATTTTTATTTGTCTAAACGTTTGTCTCTTTTTTTTTTTAACGATACTAGCTAAAACTTATTCAGTGATTGAAATTACCTGCATTATATTTTTTAAATACGTCACCCAAAATTACAGTTGACTTCTAGCGATGGAAAGAAAACTTTTACTTGAGAAGATTTTTCTACATTTTGAACGCTTATTTAAAGCATGTTCGGCATTACTCTTTGTCTTGAGGGTTGTACGATTACGATTGCTGAATATCAAATTTTTGCGATTGTAAGTAAAATTTATCATCAAAAATTAGATGAAGTTGTGTCGTATATTTCACGCTTCATCGATGAAAAATTTACTGAATGAGATTTATGGTTGGAAATAAAATTTTAAACTAGAGTTCTAAAATTTTCCAGAGTTTGATGCATCATCGTGGCCACTTCACTGGTGGATTTACCTTTTTATAGCTTATTGTTAAAATTTTAACATTTGCCTCATCAGTATACACGCGTGTCATTTATTTAGTTAGAAGCGATTTTTCTTCGTACCATCATGCAGTGACATTATGGTACGCATTACAATTATTATCTATTTAAGGAGGCATTGGGAAAGCCCCACATTTGATGAATCACAGGTCTCCTTTTTCTCGAGCGCAATACTCGCTGGTTTTGTTCGCGTCAAAACCTTGGCTCACTTGTTGTTGGCAGTAGGCATTAGTTGTACTGTGCTTATTTTAACAAGGAACCAAGTCCATAGTAATTTTTCATGCCTCACACTGTCAGGCGTTTGGTGACGCTCTTTGAAGGTATGGTCAATATGTAATAAATTTGTTCGGTTGGCAAGAACGAGCCTGTCGACTGCGAAGTAGAGTAAATTAGCGGCGGTTTAATTTGTATGTTGACTATTGGTACTCCATATTGTACTGTTTGTATCTCTGATTTGCATTCTTGTTAACCTAAATTTCTTAATAATTAGAGGAATTAATGTCCCTGTTCATCATCATTATTAAACTATTTCAAGTTTTCACGAATTTCTTCTTGCTACATTCTTCTTGCCGTCGCTGTAGCAGATTTTCATTAATTAATGTAATTCTATAAAGGGATGAAATATATATCATTTAATACTATGAGATGATGTGCAAAACGACTATGAAAACATTTGGATAATCAAAGATTAAAAGTCTCTTCAATACTTTTCACTTCACTTTTCTGCCTGTCAAAATTCCATCGACACAAATCTATTCACTCAACAAACTGGCAGAGAATTAGTTGCATCGGCGCAAGGAAAGGCACGCTTGTCCCCGTTGCATGGCGCGGTTTTGAGTAGAGAGCCATCAGCTATATCCACGTACGCGCATTCGCCGTCTACAGGAGGTATTGCCCATTCACCCGCAGTCACAGGCTTGTTACTAGGAACGTGGACCCAAGTTTCGTTGATTTTTCGTACGTTCACCCAGAATTCCACTAGCTCTGAGAAAACAAAATATTTACTTCAATACTCTACACTGAATATTTGCACGCAAGAATAATTGAATGTAAGAATGAAAATAAAATTAAATTGAATTTTCAGTCATTTTCTTTGGATTATATTTTTGGTTATTTTGCAACTTAAGGAAACAAATTACATAATTTGTTCTGACCTGAATCCTCTTGATCGATGAAATCCAACACGTTTTGAAGCTTCTCAGGCGTGTCAATCTCAGCTAGTAGCAGTCCATGGTTCACACACTCGGTCACCCCAGCACAGAAGAACTCTTTTCTGATGTTGCTACTACCACAAGAAGGCCCTAGGCAGGGTGTGCAGAAGTGTAAGCAGGGCGACCGGTTGTTCTTGCAACACTTCAATGTTTCCATCGGAAGATTCGTCAGTTCAGTCCCATCTAGAAAAAATGTTCAAATGAAAACATATCCGACGATTTATACGTGTAAAAAAGGTTAATGTTTACATTGGACATGAAACTCCAATCTTCATTATCTGTGAACGGAATAAAAATACAACTTCGCAACCTAATTAGGATAAATACTAGTATGGATTGTAGGCAGTATAGGATAAACTCTATTGATAAACATCTATTGCCTAGACCTCTCGGATTTCAAAGATATTGCTACCATGCATAGTAAAATCATAAAATGTCATAGTAAACGTCAAACAGCAGAAGAATTAAGCTAAGTACCTCATAAGAACACATTAGCTTTTTGAGAAAAAATTTTCTTATCGAATATGGATGTACCCGATTGCATCTAAATGCACCCTATTGAATCTGGATGTAGGGTATTCAAAGTTATCACTGTTCAAATCTATGTGCATAAAGAGCGAGTTCAATAAAATCCTAAGCACGCAGGAACTGAACTATTATAGATTAAATTGATAATTTTAGTTCCTACGTTCAACTTATACACTTAATATATACTAAGTTTGAGAGATCCCTATAAAGCAATTAGTATTCCCGCAGCTAGTGATTGGTGCAGCAATTAATGACTGGTATAACATTGACTGGTATAATGCTGATAGATACAGTATTAAAGCATGTACTAACCACTGGTTTACATTTTTTGTTCAAGAATTTTACATTTCTTCAATACGCGAAAAATTTTATATTATTTTTGGAAATTGTAAATTCTGTATCTTCACCTTGGTCCACTATTTTGCCTGAAGCACAGCTTGAGGTGCAACTTCCGTCGGTTGTTATGCTTTCACCATCCAAGAACGCGCCCAGGGAGGTGAAGCACATTGTAGGAACTGAGATACGAGAACATACGAGCATATTGGGGGCTCAGTCAGACTAATTTGCGGTTACATTCGAATACAAAATATTCAAATATTTGACAACATATACAATAATATGATAATTCTAAGTGGAGACGTATTAAATAGTATTACGTTTCTATGGTTCATTAATTAGTGAACAATAATTATTTTAAGGCTGGGAACAGTGTCAGTGTAGATCACTTAACCACAGTAGACTTTGCGTGATAAGCATTAATTGTATGTCAAGTTTAGTATTCAAAAATGACGCACTGCCACGCAAATGCCGTAAATTATGATTCGAGTGACAACTTTATCAGATTACTTGGGCCGTACTGTAAAAATTTGAGATTTCGTAACTCGGTCAGCCAATCACTGCCAGCTTTTCAATTTAGACCCGCTGATTACAGCTGAGAAATCGGTTTAGACGTGTACCTAGGCCGCTATACGTGTACTAGAACTGTTAAGTGTTCTTAATTAAGTGAGTTTTAATAGTACGTTCCCTGGCCAGCCCTGCTACTCACGAGGGCTTAGAACGTAGACCGTCTCTCCAGTACACGAGGGCTTGCTTGGGTCGTAGACTCCCTTCGTGGCTACCCTGCAGGTGCCGCCGCTGTACTTGAACATGAGTTTGCCTGTAAATCAGGAACCAAATTAGCGTTCGTGATGCGTCATGAAGAAATAAGAGTATTTCATCAGGCGTTTTAGTCTTAAGAAAGAAGTAAACTTTAACTGTTTTTTAAACCTCCTAATATTCTCACTGAAATTAGAATTGTCACATGAGTTGAGTGGACTAACGATGAAAAAAATGTTTCATGTGTACACGATTGCATTCTTCATAAACACACTGTAAATAAATAATAAATAGAGCGAATTACTCTTTATTAAAGTTAAATGATATAATGAATTTCAAATTAAATTGCTTAAGTTTGTCAAAAAAGCCCTGAAATAATGCTGATTGTGTAATATGTATGATAACCTGCATCCAAAGTGGCCTGGGCGCAATCGATGGTAGACTTGACGCCGCTCTTGACAACCCACGTGATGTTTTGAGTGCTCGCGGTTGTCAGCTCAACGAACTCTGAGGTGCCCAGCTCGATGGAGTAAAGGCTTCCTGACACAGAGTTCGCCTCCGCAGCACAGGTTGAGAATAAGTTGGTTTTTAGGTTCGTTTGCAGGACAAACTGCAAGTGATAAAACCTTCGATTACTTGGAGGGTAAACTGAAAGTGATTACAGCTTCGATTACTTGGAGGTGAAAGTAAAATATGTTAAATGCGATTACAGCATTGAATGCCAGCTATTTAAACACATATGTAATGCAGGTAATATTATAATAGATTGTTTTTGCGATCAAGAATTCATTTAAAAAAGAAAGAAATGCGAAATAAATGGAAAATAAAACGACAGTCAAGTCACCATAAAGAAATTCCGCCTGCAATTTTCTCGGATATTTTTTTGTACATGGACAAAAAATGAACAATTCCATAAAAATATCACGGGATTAAAAAACTAATTAGTACTACTACTAAAAACTAAAACTGGTTATCCGATTATTATCGACCGGAATTGTTCAAAAGCACGACAATTTATGAAAATCTTAAAGGTGCTTAAATCCACCCACCGTTTCCTGGGATTCGCTAGCGCGAGGCATTCCAGCAGACGACGTCTTATCCTGAGCGAAAATTAAATGTGGGATAAATTCACGAGAAAATAATGGCTACTTTGTGAATTATTAACATTTAAGATGCTATAACAACATTTTTATGTGATCTACACAGGTATAAATAAATTCACAAGGCTGCACATAAAACTAACATGTTTACGGTCATTTTAAATGTGGGCAAAATTTTTATAACGATAGTCTCAAAGATTGTTTTCAGACAAAGCATTCTTCACATTTTAATCAAACTTTTTAATCAACTATTTGCGTCTGCTAAAAAGTTTAAACCCAATATTTATAATAAAATACATTACTGAAATAAAACGATAATTAGTTCACGGATCATGACCCTTTAGGCAAATGAGATGGAAACAACGTTGATTAAGAGTTAATTTCTGTGACACGACGTGTATTCAACGTTATTTTAACATCAGATGTCTAGTGGCTTGGTATATATGAACAAGTATATATTCCCCACCGTTGCTGAGGCAGGCGAGGTTGCCGCAACCAGCAGAAAATACCAGTTAACAATAGAGCAAAATTAAACAACATTTAGAGACAATTAATATATAACAGTATATATTCCCCACCGTTGCTGAGGCAGGCGAGGCTGCTGCAACCAGCAGAAAATACCAGTTAACATATAGAGCAAAATTAAACATCATTTAGAGACCATTAATATTTAACAGTATATATTCCCCACCGTTGCTGAGGCTGCCGCCACCAACAGCGCGAGAAGTAAGGCAGGCGCGTCCATCAGTTGTTGTTGCTCAGGCGAGGGCCGCACTCGAACTGGCCGCACCAGCGCCCTGCAAGACGAGAATTATGTCGCAAGTGTTCACAGCGATATTTACACGTGTACTAAACTCTAAATGCGTTCAAATGAAATGTGGTGGATGCAAGCCATTTAATGAAACTTTTTTTATTTCGTGAAATTTTGAACTCATTTCCAGAAACTTGATTCTTGCTTCGGTTCTCAAAGCTCTTGTTAAACTTTGCTCGAAGAGTTTATGTTACGCTGACGTGGTATAAACATTTAATTGCTGACGTGTACAAAACATAGCATACGAACATTGGTTGTGGTAAACAAGTGTTCACCACGATACTTACACGTGTAACATGAGAACGCAATAACATGAGATTACACTTATGTTCATAGCTTACCTTCTAGTTAATGTATAAATTGGAACGGTCTAATAGACGAGACCTATTTGTTTTAATAGATTAACTTGGGTCATAAATATAATATTAATTAAATGATGTGCTCCGGAGACACGTACCTACCTCTTCGCTACTATAGGCTTATCTGCAAAAAATTGATTCGCATGTTTTCCGTTGCATATGAGCTAGTTTAAGAAAAATGAATTGTTTTTACTAATAAATGCTTAAACATTTACACGGTAATATTTTAACCACTGTGTTGAAAGAAAAAAGTATTGAAAATAATGCAAGTGTTCGCTTGTGGATAGGTGCTAAAAAGTGTTATCTGAAAATATTTGTGTTGCGTTAGTTGAATGAAAATTGAGTGAACAATTCAATAGTTCATATCATGACCTTCAACATGATCATAGACATTTTATGATTACTTAACATAAGAAAAAAATTGAAATTATAACATGTATATACATTTATGCGGAGTTATGCAATGTTTAATTAACTAAATTATAAAATTCTATATATCACGCCACGGAATATGACGCTAAATCCCACAAAACATAAACATTATATGTTTTAGCCATACAGAACATCAGTGCATGAGAGCTTTATGCTGAATAATTTAAAAGTAACTACCAGAACACATTTATTTGTACACTCGAATATCAGCTCTGCTCTGCCTTACACTGTCGACATTAATCAATACATAATAAATTAGAGGATTAATTAATTTTGCTAATATTCAGCAATTTTTTTCTCGTCAACTCCTTATCCAACTTCCATTGGATATTGCTGATCATTGATGCGAAGAAAAATATGCGTTTATAAATTTCTTTTTAAAACAACACTTTTAAAGAGGCCAGTATCTACGATGTTACACACGTACAATGAATTTATTTTAATTTTAAATATTTAAAAACATTTTTCTTTCATTTATGTGATATGTTGAAAAAATCTAATTATACATTTTTAAAATTATTTATTCTGTCAATTTATTCATTCATTGTCTCCGATTTTACGCAAATGTGCCAAATTTCAGATCGATTGGGCAGGTATAAGTGTGTTAAATATCGCTTTGTAGCAGACAAACAAACAATCAAACAACAAGAAGTGAAGTTATAAATAGAAGTGTTGTAAAAAGATGGAAGAACAAAATAGGGCAGGTAGACAGAGCAAAATGAAAAACTTTGAGCAAAGTTAGCAAAAATGGTCGTTTTACCTAATTATCAGTGCTGGAATAGCGATTAATGGATTACGTCGGGAACAAAATGAAATTCTCTAAAAAAAAGTCGCAACATGATAGGAATCGGAAATCATATTACGAGATCCATAATAAAAAGAAAATTTGCTGAATTGTAAAAAAACAGCGAATAATTTAAGGATATTGAAGGATGTTTCGTTGAGATATAACGATATTGTAACAAACTTATATACGTTCACCGCTACCTATATTTGTAACTTCTATATTGATCGAACTCTTCTATTCAGCTCATGAGTGAGTCGAAAGGAATAGAGTATATACTCATATTAACATTTGAAATGCATGTGTTTAAACACCAGTTACCCATATAAGGCCACTTGCGTTAGCAACCGATCTTTTACAACAAAGTTTGAAAAAACTTCTCTACATTCAACTTCTCATTTGGAAAAAAATCTAAACCAAATATTCAAAAGAAATTTATTCCTTCTACGAAATAAAATTTTGCCGTTGCCAGGAATTGAATACATTTAGCCCGCTGAACTGATTTGTAAGACTATGCATTGTTCTGATCGAATCACTCGGATATTCACTCAGATGTCGATCCTAAACTGCTATGCACGGTGAGCTTCGGTCGATCTTTGCATCTGCAGCATACATTTACAGTAACTCAATGGTAAATAGGAAATAAAATCAAGGTTAATTTCTTCAAATGAATTGAATTAAGGAATGATTACATTAACGATACGTCAATGCATTATTCAACTTATTTACTTTTGACAGCAAATAGGCATTTTTAATTATAATCTGCAATGCCAGGAAAAATAATGAATTCTTTTGATCACAAGAGATTTCCCAAAAAAATTGAGCTGGAACGCTAATGATATTCTTAATCAATTTATACAGTTATATGGTCATAATTATCCCTCAATTGAAGAATAAATTAGCTGCAAAATAGTTAAATGATTTCTTGCTTTTCCAAAGGCAACATATTTCTCGTGGTAAGTGTCTTGCCTCGTGTATTGACCGCACCATGGGCCAATGGAAGTTCCCTCGCTGCGCGGTCATAAAAAGCGATCCTCGCTGTAATTTCTTGCACTGGTATAACGCATGAAACTTTGGCACATTTTACAAATCATGATTAAATTAATAGATCGAGTAAACGCGAAAAAATTGCGACATGATGATCGATTTGATTTCGTATTGGAATGCTGCAGATTTCAAATTTTACCTAGGCGTTTTCTAATATGGTTAGTCTGTAAGATAACTTTTAGCCATAGCGTACTTTAGCGTAAAACTACCAACACCCTAACAAAATTTAGAGCCGGGAGCCAACCAACCCTCCACCCGCCACGTCGATTAAAAAATTCATCTGTTATATTCAGCACAATCTCATGCTATGATATTTATCTGCGGCGCAAATTAACCCTAAAAATATCCAATTTGTTTATATGCAAAGAATAATTACGCGAAATGGAGAAATTGTCGGGAAGGAACAACAGTTTCCAAAGAAAAGATAGTGCAATGACCGCTAGAATATCAAAAAGATTTTAGCATTTCAACTGATCAAACTCATATATTCAGTTTTTAGAAGCAACAAATCGACGACTGACACGCAATGACATTTGAAAGTCAAACAAGTGCATTCAAGTGTTCAAACACCTGTTATTCAACCATAGCAGCTAGCGTTAGTCACGAATTCTCCATCAAAGAGTTGAAATTTCCACAAAACGCTTCACATCTAACTTGTCATTTCTATAAAATCTCAACAAAATAGTCATAAGAATCCAATTTCAACCGATACTGTGATTCGTATACATTTATCTCGCTGTTTGCTCAAAACCACATGGGACACTCGCGTAGGGCCGAGCGTGCAGGGGGCGAGCTTTGACCGGTCTTATATGGCATATGGAGCAACGCGCAGTCTGTTTAGCATTATACTTAGAGGGGCTCAGTGGTATATAGTATTGAAATCAAATAGAAATGGATAACTTATAGCCGCTTGCATATTTTCAGAAAGCTATTGATAACAAACATGTTTTTTAATCCACAATACCAGGAAAATAAAATAATTACATTGATCTCGCGAGATGTGCGAAAAAAAGTAAGTCGGAACGCTCATGACACTCGTAATTAAGCTATACACTTCATAAGTCATTATTCTACTTAATGGAAGAAAATATTTAGCTGTCTATGTATTCACATTAGTTCTCGCTATTCCAACGGCAATATTTCTGTCACTGTAACCCGTGGCAAATCATTTGCTTCGTGTATTGATGCACATCGTGAGCTAATTAAAGTTTCATAGCTATGGTCTAATTAAAAGCGGTACCATCCTATGTAATTCTTGAACTAGCTCAACGGTTGGTGAGTATATAAGTGCGAACAAAATATACTATCAGCAGAACAAAAAATCTTGATGTTCCGATGGTATGTAATAAAAAAATAAAGTTTCCAGCTGACTTATATAGCGAAATACACAGACATTTGTCAGACAGTAAAAGCCCTGACTCTACGAGCATTCTCTGCAGGTACAAATGACGCTTAGTTAAACGTGAATAAATGCAAGAGTATGTAAAGTGAATCAACTTTTTCGCTGCTGTATATTAATTAAAGTGACGGCACAGTTTGTATATAACGTTCAAAAATAAATTATTTCTGCGTCTCATTATGCAATGCTGCAGTAGAATGCATCATGGTGAATTCATCAACAGACTATGGTTAATGCAGATAACGTTAATTTTGACTGTGCAAAATATCATTTTAACAATATTTGTAAGCCATCTAAAGAATTGCTGCTTCACAAATGGATACGTAATTTCTACTCTGTTCTACTTTCCCCTAAAAATGTTATAATTCCGATTCTGTTGTCATTATTTCCTTACATTTTATGATTTCGACTCCGTTCTACTCAATCCCAATCATTTTATAATTCCGATTTGTTCCACTCAATCCCAGTAATTTTCAAATTCCGACTCTGCTAAACTCAATCGCTCTGACATTACAATAAAATTACACTGACCACATGGAAACTTGAGCAGCTGAAGCTCGAGTACAGTTGTTAGGAGTAAACTGGCACGTTGCGACAAACCAACTTGACTGAAGGGCCTGCAGTTTTGTGTGAAAACGTTATTTATTTTGTGCTCTTTTGCCGTGGGTTTCATATGGCTGTTGAGTTCATTTGCTTTAGTTCAAATAAAACATCATCTAACCACTGATCAGTACACACGAACATGTTGCTTTACGCACGCACAATATATGTTATAATTAAACAAATTGTGCCTCATCGTAAAATAAGGTTCTGCAAGGATGAAAATTATTGTCTGATTATGAATTTCAGTTGCGACTACGCAGCAACATGCTTGTGAGAAAAGATATTATAGAGAATATCGAGAAATTAACGTAAATTTTATTGCAAGTAAAATAATATTTTGCGTGTACGGAGATATATGAGTA